CCCTGTTTCTATAATAGCCCTGTTGTCACACACCTCTCAGATTTGCATGTGAAATCACACACACACACACTCTGTGTAGGAGCTGGCAGACAAAGCAGTCTCTAATGGAGCCTGACTAAAAATTACAGTGCTAACACTGCACACTCTGAAAGAAAGACTGAATAAGTGGAGTCAATTTAAGGTTTAGAAATCTCAGTTATCACTGGCAATATCAAAAACATGATGGAATTTTATATGATTTAGCTACTATCACACAACACAATTCCTGGCATTCACTATATGTATCTATATAAACCAATGAACCAAAACATTAAGGCCTGTCTGCCTAATAAGCTGTTGGTCCTTCATGTGCCAACCCAAACAGGTCTGAACTGCTGAGACATGAGCTCTACAAGACCTCTGAAGGTGCACTGTGGTATCTGGCACAAAGATGTTAGCAGCAAATCCTTTGTCCTGTAAGTTGCTATTCAGATTGAGGTCTGGGGAAGTTGGTGGCCGGGGCAAAACCTTGAACTCTTCATCGTGTTCCTCAAAGCATTCCTGAACAATGTATGCAGTGTGGCAGGGTGCATTATCCTGCTGAAAGAGGCCTTTGGGGAATACCATTGCCATGAAGGAGTGTACTTGGTTCTTGTGTCGTGGCTCTTCTGTCGGCTTTGACCAGATGGGATAGCCTTTGTTGCCTTGCCCACAAGCCGTGCCGTTTCGTCAAGACCTGAGCAACTTTGACAAAGTCACTCAGGTCTTCACGCCTGCCTCCCACATCCAACACAGCAACTGTTCACAGTGTCTAATATATCCAAGACCTTGGTGTGTATATTTATATATACTTAAGTCAGAAGATGCACTACTGAAGCCCCCGATCCACCTCCACATACTCACTGTAGGTAAGCATTCCCCATAGACTTGTTGCATCTTAATGCGTGGTCATTACTCAGTTAGGTGTGGGAACAAGATCCTAATGCATGGTCATGACTTAGTAAGGCTTAATCTCATTCCCATGCCTTACTAAGTCATGGCCACGACTTAATTATCTCATTTCCACGGCTTACTTAGTCATGGCCACACATTAGGATCTCGCTCCCACACGTTAATAAGGCCATGCGTTATTTTGTTTTCTATGTTTCTAACTTTAAAACGATGCTAGTTTTCACTAGCATGACTAGTTCGGGAATCTCTGCTATCTACTCTCTTAGCACCAGGCTAACAAAATGTACTGCTTTTTAAACACAATCTTTCTTTACAGTCAAATAAGATCAATATGATTAATCAAGATTAACCACACAAAATAATGCCTTTGATTGAGGTTTAATCAAGTTTTAATCGTTTGACAGCTCTACTTTTAAGGTATCATGAAGTGTCTTGTGATGTCATATATCACCCGGCCTTGTCTGACGCCCTGCCCAAATCTGAGCACTCTCAGTGTCGTAAATGAATATTGACATTGTGCCAATTGCCTTTAGACTGCTGCTAACTGGAACATAAGTGACAGAGCGAGTCTTTATGATACCGTGTGTGTTCACTGGGGCATGAAATGAGAAGCTTCAGCCAAACAAGTCTAAAACACATACACACACACATACACGCACAAGCTGAGAGTGTGAATTAACATCCACTACCAAACAGCATACTTACACACTGAGAAGCAAAACAACAACAAGAAAAAAAAGCCCTGCAGCAAGAACATGACTACATTACAGTTTCCAGCACGTTCAAACACGCACAGCAGGTACAATCATAACACAACATAACGGCTCCAGAAAGAAAGAATATCAAGGCCATCTTTTTGTCTCTCAAATAAACAACCACTCCACTACCAGGGTCAGGGATTTAAGACGGGGACAGAAAATGAAAACAAAAGAACAATACTTTTCACAGAACATTCTCAAAAACAAGAGAGAAAGCTTTTGTCAACTGAAATGTCAAACAGTTAACAGCATTATTATGTTTCATTTCAGTTTATAATTGGTGGAGTATACTTGTTAGCTCGGTACTTGTTAGGTACTTTAGCCTTGTAACTTGAAATATTTCCATAAACAATTTCGTATATTTCAGTTACTTTCACCTTAACCCAAAAATGGCCTTAAAATGAGTGTTTTGTAGGTCCCTTTTTCTCTGTCACCTTTTATCATTCTGCCTCAGCATACTACATGTTCATTAAAACCTCTTCATTAAACATAATGGCCCAGCTCTTACTTACTACCTTCAAATATGGACTAGGCTGGAAATCGTCTCACACTAACCCAACCCTGCATTTATTAAACAATGGAATGAAAAGTGGAGATTTTAGTGCAAATGATGAATAAGTTTCAGTGCGTGAAATCAAGCGTCCACTTGCTAGTACCTCATTTACATGAAGCATGCCCTAATTTGTGCAGATATTTCAGTAGGGAGCCAATAAAATGACAGCATTCAGGGGCCCTTGAGCCAACGGCTGTGCTCGTAGGTGGAGTTTAAGGTTGAGTAGAAAGTGCACTGCTCCCCCTACTGACCATATATTATAGGGTTGAAATTACGACCACTGGAAAAATACAATGTCTTCTTGTTCTTAAGACGGTAGAACGGTGTGATTGAGTGGTGTGATTATTTTCCTGTGTTTTTATATTTTATTACATAGTCAGTAATATAAAACAAAAGCATAGTATGTCTTTGAATGAAACACAGAATAGCAGCATTTGTTTATACCAACATGTACGTAAAATGAGTACATCCACTTTTGTACTGGATTACCACTGTTCACAAATTATTAGTATTACTGTTATTTTCTATTTTTATTATTATAATGGGTATTATAGATGATATTGATATTAGTTCTGGCTAGTTAACTACAAATCAAGACTTTTTTCAGGTTCTTAAACTTCAAATGCACACACTCCTACCAGTTAGATCGTACAGATTCGCCCAAGACAAAACTGATGAATAACAAAACTGTCAGTGAAATCTATGTGCGCCCATTTTATGACCAGATTTGACCTTATGCAACTTTGAGGGGCATTATGTATAATCAGTGCAGCAGTAGTTTAACTTTTTTGTTAGCTGAAAGTTGTACATTCCACCTGTTATCTGTACAGCTACAACTCCAAAATGATCTGCATACATGCTGAACACTCTCTGACTCGTCGACACACTGGCTTGTTACATTTCTGGAGCTAAACAAGCCATAACAGCTAATATTAAAAAGTCAGCTTACCGTATTCTCAACATTGCCTGCAGTAATGTTAAGTGTCTGCAAAGCTGTTCATTTCAGCTTGAGTTGGCTGGCAAATCCTGAGCTGTACCGAGTCCACAGTAAAATGCTCACTACAAACGCTTGTACCGTGTGTCACTTCAACGCCAAAAATATTTTTTTCTTTAGGCTTATTATTTGGAACTGAATGTAGAGAGTGGTTGTAGTCAGTAAGTGTAATGTGTGATGTTAAAAATGACGCCAAATTAAGTGTAATTGCATAAGACTTAGAGACAATCTAAAATTTTAAATAAGGAGGAAAATATAGTGCTGGGCCTTTAATAGTTAACCATTCACCACCACTGTGTTCCAACATGGGGCTTGAGATAATCAAGTACTGATTAATTAATCAAACACACACAGCGGTGAAGCAGCCTTTTCCATTCAGAGGACTTGCTATCGCTTCACATCACTGTGTAAACAAGTTCTACTTGCAATGTGTTAAAGTGAATGGAATACAGGCAGACACAACTATCATTTATGGTGTTCCACAGGCGTCAGTTCTTGGCCCACTTTTGGTTAGTATCTACATGCTCTCTCTTGTTTGCATTATTCATGAGCCTGGCTTCAGCTATCATTTATATGCTGACTATATTTAAATTTACAGCTGTATGAAGTGTGATATTCTTTTAAATAAAGCCTGATCAGTCGGATTCATTAAACATACTGTCTTTACAGGTTAAAAATCCTGATTATTTTGGAGCACTTTCGTTTGATTCACATGTTAACAAAAGAAGCCAACAAAAGTAGCTATTTCACTTGAGGAATACAGCTTGGAATTGTTACACTTGCAGTTACTGTGCAGTCTACATACACTTTTACTTTAGACTCATGTGGACACATGCATTGAGATGTTCAGTGAGTATCGGCAGAAGAATATACTGGACACATATTTAATGTAGACAGATCGTCCTATGTCTAGACTACTGTAATGCATTATTCACAGAATCACATAAAACCTATATAGACAGACTGCAGCTAATTCAGAACTCCCATGCCGCACTACCATGCACAAAAAAGTTTTTTAGGGTTTTTAATGCTCTTCATGTGTTGCACCTAAAGAATGTTTCTGAAAGCCTTCACACTGTTTTCCAAACAGGATACTGATGATTCCATATTCTATTTAATTGTCATACTTAATAATATTCTTTTTCATTGTTTTCGTTTTTATTCCCTTTTCTTTGTTTATTTTACTTTAGTGCTTTCCAGATATTTTCCCTCTTATTTGTTGTTTTAATCGTATACTATTTTTCACTGTTTTATTCATACAGTCTAATTCTATTGTGAAGCACTTTAAGCTGCATTTTAGGTATAAAAAGATGTTCTATACAAAAATTTGAGCACCCCTGGTCAAATGATATGTTTTGTTGATTTTCTAAGCAAAAATAAGTTAACAAATGCCCCACAGAGCACATACTTTTGCACATATTAATGTTAATTTGATGTTTATTAGTAGAATTTGACATATTGGGAAAAAAGCGTGGCCAGTAAAAAGTATTTAATTATTTATTCAATTATTTATTAATTTTTACTTTTTTTTATTTTTCCAATATGTTAAAATCAGCAAAAAATAGAAATTGTGCACCAAAATATGTAGAAAAATGCCATATTCAAGTGTCCTGTAGAGGATGTGCTTACAAATCAACAAAATGTGTAATTTGAAAAGGTGCATATGACTGTAAATAAAGTTAAGTGACTTTAATTATTTGAGTAAGCTGAGTACTGGGATTTGGAGTGTGTTTCAGGTGTGTGTGCAACCATGCAGGTGACTGACCTCTCTGATGGCCGTGCAGAATTCACTCTGTAGAACCTTCTTCAGAGACTGGAGCTTATGGCCAGGAACATCACCAGACTCCTGCAGCTTCTCCAGCAGCTCGATCGCCCGTGCCACATCTAAGAGAGACAGACAGGGAGATAGAGAGAAAATTGAAATTTCCTGATACTCCAAATCATTCCCTAAAGAATCAGAGATTTACACATGGAAATAAGATGAAGAGATTAAAGAGAGAGAGGGGGGTATAGAGAGAGGGAGGAAAGAAAGGAAAGAGAAAATGGGAGAGAGGGAAAGGAGAGAGAAAAAGAAAGGATACAGAAAGAGAGAAAAAGAGCAGAGAAAGAGAGAGAGATAGAGAGTGTGAGAGAGAGGGGGAAATGAGAGAGAGAGGTAACAGAGGGAAGAGAAGTGATTGCAGTGCTGAATTACATTAAGAGTGAAGGGCAGGAGAGGAGGAGCTGCACTGAATCCATCAGAGTGATAATAGAAATCGAGTGAAGGCCAAGAGCCGATGAGGAAACAAACAGAGAGCATGCAACAACACCAAACTAACCACCTCCAGGCTTTGTAAGCATCAAGCTTACGAAGCAGAGACAGGTACATATACACAGCTCAAACATTTTGAGACAAATTGAGGCTTTCAAATGATCTTTTAACACAAATTTCTTTGTCGGTTTTGCAATAATTTACCATATTAAAGCTAATCAGTCTAACCTTTACAGGGATTTTTCTTACTGAACTGAAAAGAAACAGTGAAAACTTCAAAAGAAGATAAACTGTCCCTAAACTTTTGATGGGCCAGCCAGAGAGCCCGATAGAGAGATAGACTGACAGACCAAATCAGATTTTTGGCATATCCGGATTGTACCCAGATTGATTTGTGATAGTCTGGGCAGCTAAAAACCACATGAAATCTGATTTTTGCAAATTAGATCCAAACCCCATTTGGAGATTGTTTGAAATGCGATTCCAATCGGATTTTTACAGATGCATCTCAGTCTGGACAGTCTGGCCGCTCACATCAGATTCAGATCAAGAATCTTTTGTGTCACTCACAACATGACAAACAACAATGATTAGAATGATGTAAGTGCTGTGACTCCAGAGACGCGCCAAAGTTTCATGCTTATGCCAGAGAATGTTGAAGAGGGTGAGACGATGCACCTCCATCTCTCTTGCATCCGCATTTGAAATCCACATCACCAGCGTAGCTGAGTTTATTTATTTTTTTATTCATTAGAGGGAGAAAAAGAGAAAGCAAAGGTAGAGAGAAAGAATAATAGATGAGGGATAAAAAGTGTGACAGAAAGAAAAGGGAAGAGAGAGAGAGAAAGAGAGAGTGAGAGAAAGAGAGAGAGAGAGAGAGAGAGAGAGAGAGTGAAGAGGTAGTGAGAAAGAGTAATAGATGAGGGATAAAAAGTGCAACAGAAACAAAGGGGAGAAGAGGAGTGAAAGAGAGAGAGAGAGATAGAGAGAGAGGAGGAGTGATTTCTCTATCACAGAAAAGCCCCTCAGCAGTTCTGAACTATATGACAGTTCACATCATTAATCCACTGATGCTCAGTGACCCTCTACGCTTAATTACATAAAGCACCGAACACAGCGGCTCGATGTGTGGAACTGAAGGCCTAAAGCTCATTCTCATCAACTTCTGTTCACAGCCCCTCACTGTGGCCTTAAATCCCCTTAAATCCCACTGCAGAGTGTTTAAAAATGTGCGCATTACAGGTCAGAGTGAAGATCTGACTGAGAAATGATTCACTGAACAACATTCACCCTCAGGGCACGCTTAAATCACACCGCCTCTAACACATGCACAAGTAAACACTCAAGTGTGCTAGCACCAAAACGATACAGCTGCAGAACATGGCCTGGACCCAGAGCAGAGATGATATAACTAGATGATGTAACTAACTGTAACAAAAGATCATTTTTAAAATGACTAGTTAATCAAGTTCTGACACATACTTTTGACGCATATTCAGTATTTTGGTTTCATCCTTGTTAAAGTGGCAGGTTTTGTTCCACTGCTTGCCACTAAAATACAAGACATTCTTGTCCACCCATGATTATATAAAATAAAATTTTGTAAACAATGTCATTTATAAAAGTCAGTGCTTCCTTTCTGAATCATGTCTGATTTTAATGCACATGTAAACATTAACTTCATAACTGTGGGTCACAACACAGGAGCATCAGTAGCATCATTTCCTTTGTTTTACCCTATCATTGGTGATATTGGTGGAAGATTTTATGGAAAGTCTCTCTCAAAACTGTCATCAATAAAACTAATTTATAAAATTCGAAGGGGCACACCCACACCATCACCCCCCCCCCACCCCCGCCCCTTATTTTTGCACCAATGCTTACAACATCAGAGGCAAAAATAAAGTGTTGCGTGCAAGAGGAATAATTAAAGTGAAAACTTGATACAGGATGAACACTAATAGCTAAAATTTATAGAAAATTTCTTCTAATTTAGACCGATAGTTACTTAAATCTGCCTTCATGGATTCATTTGTGACGTAGCGGTTGATACAGCATGTCAGAGTTAAGACATGAATAGAATTATCAAACAAATCCACTAAGACAGCAGATTTAATTGTTCTATTTAACAAGAATTTCACCGCAAAAGCTTCACTTGTGTTCATTAAGAACACCAATGCTATTACAATATAACCCATATATCCCACATCATTCTACTCTACTGTTAAATGGAAGTACTATGTATTCATATTATTATTACTACTACTACTGTTAATAATAATAATTCTTATAACTATTATCACCAATTGCAGTAGTAGTAACAGTTGTGGTTTGTGGTGACAGAAGAATTGCGATTAACCCCTTCAATCCCAGTCACATACTAAGGCTTATTAGAGCTTGAGCTATTCTTAGGTTCTAGAAGTGTGTAAAAAAGCTCTGGGTCTGCTGACAGTGACCCAGGGAAAAGAAATGTCTTGGCTTGTCTGTCAACAGGATATGGTAAATGTTTTGTTACCAAGCCTCGCCAACTGTTTACAACTTGATGTTTAAAACTCAAGCATTGATGCTCTTGGTTATATGTCCATTACTATACATAAAGGAGGAGCAAGTTCCTTTTTGTAGTGCAAAAGGGAATTCCATCAGCAGACGGAGGGCACAGCACAGAAAGGGCTGAAAAATAGCTTCAGACGGTTTCAGCATTGCATTTGGAACACGAGAAACAATCGTCAGCCAAGACAGATGGAGACACGCACTTCAGACAGACTTATTCCATCAGCGGCTGGCTGGAATAGCTGTGGACAAGTGGACATACCATTGCTCAGTGGTGAGTACATGCATTTATGTAAATTAACATTGCTGTGGTTTGGTGCAAGCAACAGGTGTACTTTTTGCACACTTTTATTAAGGTGCGATGGCACATCGTTTATCGTGAATACAAATCCAAGAGCTTGTCTTTCATCAAACATAACTCACAATTCTCACATCACCTTCACTCGAGCTGTATCATCACAACTGTGAATGACAGAAGCCACATACAGCTGCTGGTAACTCATCGTCAGTCTAATAAAGCTAATGCGTTGTTCAGTTAAACGGAATATTTTTTACATTTAATTTGACCATGTTATGGGTTCTTAGCAAAGACACAGACAGACATCCACATACTTAATTGTAGGTTTTTGGTGGACTCTTCAGTGATGATAACTTACAATAATGGGGCTAACAACAGACTTGCTGTCCATCAAACAATGTTGACAAATGCACCATTGCCCCCAGCTTTGAGCTCTATCTTCATGAAGTGTTGGATTGATTTCGAAATTTCACTCTCAATTTGTTCCCACCCTAATATAGTGGAGTCTGAGACCACACTGAAAATCTGGTATGGTTTCATTTAAACCTGGAAATAAACAACAGAATCTTGAAAAAATCATAAAAAAAGTTATGACAGTCAAATTAGAGAAGAAATATTCAAACATTGCCCTATTTCTGTCACTATTCAAATTGAAGCAAATTTGTGAAATTGATCATGTTGAGGCCTTTGTACAAAAAGGTCATCTTTTTAGTTTTATCTCTTCCATCCATCCTCATGTTCAGAGGGTTTGTGTTCAACTCTGAGGTGGATTTGATCTGATCAGAAGCTTTTGCACAAACTTATGTTCATATCAGCTTGAGCACACAACAGCTATGTCTACATGCAAAGATTTTTGCCAATTCGATTGAATACAATCTGATTATACATTAAGACTGAGGTGTTTATATGCACAATGTACTCAACAATCTGATGGAAATCTCCGTTTACATGCACACTGCAAGTAATCTGATCCAAAATGACGCTCATGCATAGAGTACCACTTAGTGTAGAAGTAAATTATGGCAGACTCAGGAAAATGTACTTCACACGTACTTATTAAAGAAGGGACAAGAGAAGACGTCATGCTCTGAGACACATAAGCTGGACGTCAGTCCCACCGCCTTCTTTTAAAGTTCAAAGCATAAACTTTGTCTCCTCTGCAGTTTCAGGCAGTTCATGCTGAACGTTCTAAACTTTCACTATGTACACGTGCAAAACGTACTTAAACTTTCCGACTACGAATGTAATAGGGATACAGGTGTTAACACCATTATTATTCTTCTATTTAACAGATTATTTACAGGATTACCCACCTCGTTCAATCATATAGAAATTGTATTCTGAATGGCCTCAATCTGACTAGTCTATTCCGAATGAAGTGTACACATGGACGTATTCTATTCTGATAGTGATATTAGTTGGACTATTAATAGTTCATGTAAATATTCAAAGATTCTACTTTTCACTCCAATTATTATGCTGATAATATCATTTGTAATGAAAAAAGGCGTATTAAGTTAGAAGGGAATGCAAAATAAAAGCATTTTCACCAGTGGTCTCAGACTTTTGGACCTCACTTTAAGTCTACATTCCCACCCACATTTAGCCCAAAAATTCTCATGGCTGTCCCCAGACGTTCTTGGCACAAGATCACATCTGGAACTGTGAGACTAGCTGGCTAGTGGCCCCCAGGTAAACTGAGTCTGAGACCTCTAGGATGGAACATTAAAACATAAGAATGTTACATACTAATGCATTCTAGAATATTGACAAAAACAAAAATGT